AAATAATGAGTGTTCAATGATAAAAGAATCACCCAGTATAATAAAAATTTGACAAATTTATAAAATTTAAAATATTTATTCTTTTCAAAATATTGCTACAATTGAAAAAGTGCTTCGACCAATGCTAAGTTATATATCAATTAGCACATCTTTACATATTTTAAATCGAACAACTAGAAGTACTTTAATTTTTGTCAGGCATATTGTATGTCCCATGTATGTTAGACAAAGACAGAAAATCACCACTTAATATACCTTAATACATTAATCCCTTAATACTAAATTTAAATTATTATTAAAACAATAAATAATTGTTTGTTTCTTAAATTGTTTAAAAAGTGCTTAGGGTTAATACCTATTATGAATATATAATTTTAATGTTACRTCTATTTAAACTCAAGTATAATTTCTTTTAAATTCTATTAAGAATTCTATAATCATGTACAGGTACTATAAAAATAGGTAAAAAGATTTAATTTTACATCAATTTAAATAAAGTATACCAAAACAATGTGTTAAGTACATTAAAACTTCCGTTAATAATAAATTTTRCATTTACTTTTTTTGCGTATGAGTGATAAATTATCACTGATAACCATAATAATTTAGAAATTTCACTGAAAATAGTTGTTATAAATAAATGGAGCTTACATATTTTACTCATTGAAATATTATAGTCAATAAGTTAATTTTTTTAAATGTAAATAGAAAATGTTGTAGTCAGAAAAATATGAGTACTTACTAAATGTTGTAATGTTTACTGAAATATTTTACCTTGCAATTGGTGAATCTGGAGGTAAAAGAATTTGAGCCCACTCCATTTGATATACAAAAAGAATAGATACATGTATACAAGCAACCAAACAAACAAAACGAAATAAGTATGCAAATCCACGACTTATAGGATGGTAGCAAGACCACCAAGTCATTATTCCCAAAAATGTTATGTAGTAAAATGCACTAATAATTGATGGAACTGCAACTCCAGCAAGACAAATTATCACCAAACAAAGGTATTTTCCTGTAATTAAATAAAAGTTAATCATAGGCATATAAATAATGTACAAATAAATTTACCAATTGAAATAGCAATAGAAATAGAACTTGTCTGTTGCCATGTAGCTCTTGATTCAGGGTCTGTGATTTCGATAAAACTATCTGATGCATTATCTTCAATATTAATTTTAATTAATATGCGTTGTATAATAGTAGATGAACAAACCATTATCAATTCTGGTAAGTAGAAGTACAATATTTCCACCAGTTGTAGTTTAGATAACTCAATTAAACCAATATAACGAAACATTCGTTCTACTCCACCACCTTAAATAATAATTAATTGATTATTTATTTTAAAACATATTACTATGAGTAAATAACAATTAATATGCTCACATATTGGTTCTAAAAGTTTTCCATATGGATGCATAACAAGTAAAACAATTTGGAATAAAAGCTGAATTAATACCATGAGCCAACTGATTAAAGTTACAGTTCTTAAAAACATTCCGGAACTTCCTAATTAACAATATACGATACAATTGTAATAATATATTTTATAATTAAATAAATTTTAATTAACWACTCACCATTTATAGTTTTTGGAGTAGGTGTTTTAATAACAGGAAGGTAGAGAAGTAAAAATAGATAAATTCCAGTTAATGCATTCTGTTTTAGACAGATACCTAGAAAAATAAAATAGGCAGGTGTAAAATATAAAACTTATTTGAATGACAGTTAATCTAATTATTATCAATAAATTTATCAATATCAGTTTCAGACTGAGAGCCGGTTTGCTGCACAACTCGATATCTGCCTTCAAAATGGCCATGCTGTACCCATAATTGAAACATAAAAACATTGGCTACAAATCTACAATATTTACTAATATGTAAGGTAAGAGTATCAGTGGAGGACTGTGCTATGATGTACAGGAGCATATGCAGCACCCCAAAAAAATATTAAAAATCATTAGTATTCTATAGTAAATTTCAATTGGTTTTTATGCACATAATCGGTTATAATAATAAAATATTACCATAACACCAGAACAAAAGCAAACATAAACACCTCCTCACTCAAAGACGCACTCGGACCAGGACAAGAAAAAACCATAACAAATTTCATCAAGATAGCCGATCTTACAACAAACATAAAGACAACGGATCAACGACGCCACATTATAACTATTAATATGTATGTAAATAATTTTAATTATAAACTATTAATGAAAAAAAATCAAATTTCCTTTAACTAAATGTCACCAAGTCACCACTAGACATATAAACCATCATAGACTAATAAACTTTTGTATTTGTAGCCTTAAATAAATAAATAAAATAAAATAGTGAGCAAGTGTGTATTGCTCTGCTGTATAGTAGAGATGAAGAGTAGGTCACTCACACTAAAATGGATGTGTTAAATTTGAATGCAATAGCAGGTATACGAAAAACGATTTTGGTGATGAATAGTTGGTCTAGGATATATTGTATTATAATTTTTTAGTATGATTTCGGACAAGTTGTATATTTCCATATGGCAAGGTTCAATAAATTGTTTAATCAATTTAGACAATTAGAAGAATCAAATAATAAAATGTAATAGTAACTAATCAATTTGCAATAGGAAAAAATGCCCATAACCATAATAGAATCTAAAATAAATTAAATAAATTAAATCTCAATATAAATATGAAATGTATACGCGTACAATATTTGAGTATTCATTTTATACGTGCATAATATTAAAATATAAATTTTATACATGCACAATATTTATATTATGACATATTTCGTAAACATATTTTGAACTTTAAATGCTTACACTTAAACAAAAATTGTGAATAACGATTTTTGATTTTTTTTTTTTTACTACGATTACGATAAGTAGAAATTATAATAAACCTTGATAATAACTTTAAAGAGTTTTTGGATAATCATTTTTTTATATGCATTTCAAAAAAAAACTTAGAAAAATCGAAAATTTCAATTATCTATAAATAGCTTAAAAAAAGTCAAAATATTTTAAAAATGTAATCGTTAATAGATAACGCTAATATAAACATTTAGACATTTAGTGACAATTTTAAGTATTTACATTGATTTATTTTTGAGTTATAGTAAAATAAAAAATCAATTTTGTTGAAAACTTATTATGCGTAATACATTCCTCACTTCATTCAGGATCTAAAAAAAGCAGGTAAGTCAGGTAAGTGGATAATATAAAGATATAATATCATTATTGTATGCAAAAACGATTTTGAGAGGAGAAAGTTTGTCAGYCCAGGATATTTTACACTATATTAATAAATTATATTATTATTATTAAAAAAAAAAAAAGTAGGTAAGTATCTATAAAACAAATTCCAAATTAATCAAATCAGATGCATTATATGCTATACTCGAATCACTCAGTCATTCATAGTATATTCAATATACTATAAAGTATCAAATATCAATAGGTATATGCAGTGCTGTAGTCCTAAAAAAAGCAGAGGGTATACTATRAGTTATAATATTAAACATTCATACTGTCATTAGGTATCACTTTGGTAGAGGGTAAATAACACAATACACATATTATATTAATTTTAATCTGATCGAATACTTTGGTAGAGGGTAAATAACACAACACACATACATTAATTGTGGAAATTAAAATTAAAACTAAATATTTTTTCTAAATAAATTTATTGAAAAATATTTCATAAATGTTGTCTGGATTCCGATTTTGTTAAATTATTTCCTTTCAATA